GTAAATGACAAATGTTGGAGGGGACTTGGGAAAAATGAGACATTAATGCTCTGTTGGTGTTGTGAACTGATTCAACAGTTCTGTAGAGCCATTTGGAACTATGCCCAAAGGGCTATAAAACCATACATACCCTTTGGCCTAGAAATACCACTGCTAGGTCTATATCTCAAAAGATATAAAAAACAAAAATGAAAAGGACCTATATGTACAAAAATATTCATAGCAACTCATTTCTGGGGGCAAAAAATTAGAAATTGAGGGGATGCCCATCAGTTGAGGAATGGCTGAACAAGTAGTATGTGATTATGATAGTATACTATTGTACTATAAGAAGTGATGAAAAGGATGCTCTCAGAAAAAACTGGAAAGGCTAGCATGGGCTGATGCAAAGTAAAATGTACTGTGTATAAAGTAACAGCAATATTGTAAGATGATCAGTTGTGAATGACTTAGCTATTCTCAGCAATATAATGATCCAAGACAACTCTGAAGGACTTATGATGAAAAATGTTATCCATCCCCAGAGAAAGAAGTGATGGTGTCTGAATACCGATTGTTCTTTCACAATATGACTATCTTGGATATGTTTTGCATGATTACATATGTATAATCTATTTTGAATTGCTTGCCTTCTCAATGAGGAGGGATATGGAGGGAGGAAGGCAGAGAATTTGGAACTCAAAAGTTTTAAAATTTGTTTTTGCATGTAACTAGGGGAAAATAAAATATCAAATAAAAAATTTAAAAAAGAAAGGAATATATCTTTGTTTTTAGGTCAGTGAAGACCTGAGCATGTTTAAAAACTGAAGAAAAGGAAGAGAGAGAGAGAGAAGGAGGAGGAGGAGAAGAAGAAGAAGAAGAGAAGAAAAGAGAGGAAAGAGATGGATGCACAAAGCAAGAGATATAATTGATGAAGAAAGGTCATAAAGGAGACAGGAGGGGATAGGATCATGGTCTGGATTTTTGGAGAATGTGATAGTTTTCTTTCTCTGAGGCTGGGAGAAAAGAGGAGAGGATGAATGAGGATACTGAGAAGTTCAGAGAAGTGGGAGGGTGGAACTGGGGGAATCTCATGCCTTGATCTTCTACAGAGTGTGATAGAAAAGGGAGGGAGGGAGTAGAATCCACCTTGAAGTGAGAAGAGAAGTAGAACAGTCATGATGGAGAAGGTGATAGAGGTCAATAAGATGTGAATAAAAGGATTATTCTGCAGCACTGAGGATTCAGCTGATATAAATTAGCATAAAATTGTAGTTGACCTCATTACCACAATATCATGAAGTCTTCTAGTAATATTCTGCCCACCCTTGGGCAGTTGCTGAGCTGGGGAAGACATGAATTACAGACAGGCAAAAGTTAGCAGTGTGAGACCAGGAGCAGATATTGAAGATTGGGCAAGGGATTCAGAGATGGTAGTACCCAATTGACTGATTTTAAAGCACATGCTAGTTAGGGAGGGAACTGAGGCCAAAGTAGACTTGATAGAATAGAAGATTAGGAAGTAATAGAGGGACTAAAGGTCAAACTAAGGGCAAAGAATAAAGAAGGCAAAGTAAAGGGGAAAATTTGGCAATGGGCAAAGGTAAAACATCAGAATATTTCAGTTAGAAGGGAACAGAAGACTATTTCTTCACGTAAGTTGTGAACACTATGGTGGTTGTCTGTCTGAAGTATAGTAGACCAGGGAACTCCACAGGCCTAAGGAGAAAAAGCTAGTGGCACTGGTGGAGCTGAAAGGATCATAGAGGGAAACTAGAGATACCCAGGTGGCAAAGGCAGACCAAAACAGAGAGTTTGAGGCTACTTCATCCAAACCAACCCTAGAAGGAAGGAGACAGTGGCAGAGATCTCAAGCAGGACCTAATAAACAAGCACTGCCTGGGGAGGAAACTATGAGTTTCTCCTTTGCCAAGGTTCTTTGAACAGTGCTGTGAATCAAGAGAACTGCAGAGAACACTAAAGGAGGATGGCTACTAGAAGAGGGAGGGAGTTCTCTTAATTTTCTCTAGGCTTGGTTACAAGTCCTTTCTTTGTCATCAATAAAACCTGTTCTGTATATGGTATATTTATAAGTCTGAATGCTTGCAAGGAAGCTGAAGTCACTTTATCTTTGAGGAAGTGCTATGTGATGATGCTACCAGATACCACATGGATAGTGGCAAAGTCATCCAGATAATATATTTAGAGATCATAGGATCATAGATCTAGGGCTAGAAAGGGACCACCCAGCTTTCTGCTTCCCATCTAATCTTGGTTGCATTGGTTTTGTTTGCACAAAAAACTTTTTAATTTAATTAAATCAAAATTAGCTTTTTTTTTTGCATTTCGTAATGTTCTCTATCTCTTGTTTGGTCATAAAATCTTCCCTTCTCCATACGTCTGACAGGTAAACTATTCCTTGCTCTCCTAATTTGCTTATGGTATCACCTTTATGTCTAAATCATGTACCCACTTAGACCTTATCTTGGTATACAGTATAAGATGTTGGTCTATGCCTAGTTTATGCCATACTATTTTCCAGTTTTCCCAGCAGTTTTTGTCAAATAGTGAGTTCTTATCCCAGAAGTTAGAGTCTTTGGATTTATCAAACAGTAGATTTACTACTGTGTCTTTTGTACCTAATCTATTCCACTGATCCACTACTCTATTTCTTAGCCAGTACCAAATAGTTTTGATGATTGTTGCTTTATAATATAGTTTTATATCTGGTATGGCAAGGCCACCTTCTTTTGCATTTTTTTTTCATTAATTCTCTTGATGTTCTTGACCTTTTGTTCTTCCAGATGAATTTTGTTATTTTTTTCTAGCTGTACAAAATATTTTTTGGTAGTTTGATTGGTATGGCACTGAATAAATAAATTAATTTAGGTAGAGTTGTCATTTTTTATTACATTAGCTTGCTTACCCACACTTATTGTTTTTGAGATGAAATACATTCTTTTCTTCTGGTCAGGATCTTAGCAGCATGAATAACTTTTGTTTTTCTAGTTGCGTGGTGGTCATCAGCCTAGTCATCTTAGTTTGGGTAGATGGAGGTAGGGTGAGAAATGTTCATGTTGCAATTTACTTTATCATGAGGATCCATATGTACAAAAATACACATAGCAGCTCTTCTTAGAATGGCAAAGAACTAGAAATTTAGGGGGTTAGCTAGAAAATGGCTAAACAAATTAATTAGAGAATGGCTAAACAAATTATGGTATATAAATGATCTGGAATATTATGTCATAAGAAATGATGAAAGGAATGTTTCAGAGAAATATGGGAAGGCTTGTATGAATTGAAGCAACATGAAGCAAGCAGAATCAGTAAGCAGCAGAAATAACACCTTTGTCAAAACAAACAAATTTTTTTTAAAAAAAGACTCTATAACTCTGATCAGAGGATCTGACAGAAGTGCCAAATTCAAGATGCAGAATGAGACAACACATTTTTGGACATGGAAATATGCGAATGTGTTTTGCTTGACTTCGTATTTGTTAAAAAGTTTATTTTCTTTTTCAATGGGAGGGAAATGGGAAAGGGGGAAAAGAAACATTTTTAGGTGAAAGATTAAATTGAATTTAAAAAAAATAAAAGAAATGAGGCTTTGCAGTCACAGAGACTCTATTAAAATCCCATTTCTTAAGTTTATTACATATGTTATTTTAGTCAAGTTACTATAAATGAGTGTCTTGGATTAGATGGCCTCCAAATTCTCTTCCAAGCTCTAGATATAGGATCCTTTGAGTCAACCACTGATTTATCCTACAGACTTCAAATTACATTTCCAACACCAGTCCAATAACCCGTCTCTGGTGGTTTGGGTCTGTATCACCTCCTGGGTGCTTTTCCTGGTTTCCCTGACCTTGCCTTCTCGACCCATTGTTACCCACAATTCTACCTGGATAGTGGAAAAACTTCTACCTGGCTGAAGGTGAGATGAACAAAGCTCAAAGTGTTCGAATTGTTGTTCTTACCTGCAATGACCCAGAAAAGGGCTTAATTGGATTATAAATCTTGTTTTTATTTTCTCTCTGTTGAATTCAAGGAACTAAATGCCTCTATTGTTTTGATTCTGTCCTTTTACAAATATACATTTTTATCTCTCTAAGAAGGTCCTTTTCCCCCTGTTAAGTTCTATGTAAAATTTAGATGGGACCACTGTATAAAGTAACACCTTGTATATTAATATATAGTAGTATCATTTTCAAATTATATTTGTATATTATTGTTGTTGAGTCATTTCAGTCATGTCCAACTCTTTGTGACCTCATTTCAGGTTTTCTGGACAGAGATACTGGAGTGGCTTGTCATTCCCTTCTCCAGTTCATTTTAAAGAAGAGGAAACTGAGACAAACATAGTTGTGACTTTTCCAGGGTCACATAGCTAGTTAAGTATCTGAGGCCAGATTTGAACTCACAAGAAGGAGTCTTCCTGACTCCAGACCCAGCATTCTATCCACTGCACCACTTAGCTACCCAGGCTGGTGCATACTCTGCATTTAGTAAACTCTTATTGATTGATATAACTCTACTTTGCTGCAAGATAGCAGGGTTAGGGGTGGTTTTGTTTGTTTGTTCTTTTGTTTTTTATTCATGGGCTAGAATGGATGCCCTTTGAAGTTCCAAGGAACTGGGGATAGATTTGTGATGAAGACAAAATGAAACATGGGTGAGGAGGAAGGAGGACCTCTATAGCTATCCAAATAACTGTCATATATGAGGGAATAGATTTGTTCTGTATAGGCTAGAACAGTGGTATTGAATTCAAATAGAAATAGATCCCTGCTGGCCATATATTCACTTAGAAAACTACAAATTAACATTACCTATGTTATTTGGTATTTTATTTGTTAATTATTTCCCAACTGCATTTTAATCTGGTTTGTACTTCACTTGGAATTTTGTAGACTGTGAGTTTGATACCTTTTGGCCAGAAAACAGTAGAGTAAACTGAATAGATTTTAAAGGGAGGCAGAGTCTACTTTAATATTATAAGGAACAATATTAGCTGCAAAATGGAATGGTGAGTTCTGTGTCAGGACATGTCAGGAATCTTGTGTTCAGGAAAAGGTTTGACTCTATGATCTCTAGATCCTTCCCAACTCATAAGATGTTGAAATTACTCCTTGGCTATAAGTAAACATTGACCAAAAAAAAGTATGAGAAATCTGAAGCTACCAGCTGTGTTATCCTTTGTACATGAAGATGAAAGGCAGTGTTTTCTCTCCTCTCTTTTCCCTCTCCTCCCCCATCCCCATCATTCCCTCTATCCTGTCACCTTCCTCCCTACCCCAGCCTAGAAGATGCCATGGTGGAGATGGCCAGGGAGGCCACGGAGCCCACAGAGGCGGACATCATGGGGCTGTGCCAGGACATGTTCTCCAAAATGGCCACATATCTGACAGGCGAGCCGACAGCCACCAGTGAAGACTGTAAACTTCTTGAAAATATGAACAAACTGACTAGCTTGAAGTCTCTAGAAATGAAAGATATTGCAGTAAACATAAATAGAACCCTAAAGGACTTAAACCAGAAATATGCAACACTTCAGCCTTATCTGGATCAGATCACTTTAACTGAGGAGCAAGTAGCAGTTCTGGGGCAGCCAGCTTATAGGCTGGATGCATATACAAAGAAACCAGAAGCAAAGTATAAGAAGTTAGAGAGGGGATGAAAGAATTCATTAGCACAGACTTCAACTACAGGAATGTTTCCTAAGAGCTGAAATAAGTGGGATGGGACTTATCACTACGCTTCAGTTCCTAAAAGGAAGCAATGCTGCTGATCCAAGGACAATCCCAGCCCTCACCTCTGGTTGGATTTGTAACTGGCCACCCCTTGATGTTTCCTACACCTGTAGCCCCTGGAGCCTCATCTTATCGTGTGCTTCATTGTGTGCCCTGGACCAAGGCTCAGAAATAAGGATCAACCTTGTCTAGAGCAGACACAGGAGAGGCTCTCGTCTCCCTGTCTCCTCCCTCCACCCCCTTCCCAGAGCTCCATCGTGGACTCTTTGTTCTGAATTTGTCCTCCACCCCTTTCATAACCTGTTCTTGAGCTTAAATAATAAATGCCGACTTATGTCCCTCAAAAAAAATGAAGGACAATGTATCTGGGTTCAAATTAGGAATACATGTTATGCATCTACAATAATAGCCATTACCACAAGCTTTTGTTGTTGTTGTTAAAGTACCTACTATGTAACAGAGCACTGTGGTACATATTGAGTGCAGAAATAACCTTTAGATTCAACATAGGAGCTTACAATCTAAGCACATAAATAAAATATCAACACGTTCCTTCATAACTTAAGTAAGCATTACAAAATAAAGTACCTCAGACCTTTATTAGGCCTGAGATGGAAGGCAGAAATTAGTTATCACTGTGAGGAGGAATGAAGTGAGGTGAGGGAAGAGAAAGGAACCAAGGAAGGCAACTTCATAAACAAGTTAACATTTGAGTTTGATAATCATTTAAGATCATTTGAACCCCAATAAGGGCCAAAGCCTGAACTAATCAACCATAAGAAGCACTCCAACATAATAGATATGCTTTTTCTTTATTCTCTGAGTGAACTAAGAATGCCCCTTCCTGTGTCAACAGCTGAAGCTGACCAAGAGCATTCTTCTGTTTGTAACCACTAAGGCATCTTTAACCCAGACACTACCTTGAATAATGGGACTTTTCTTATCTATGTTAAACACAGATATCCTGGATCTATAATTTCAATCTACACTTTGACATTCTCCTATTCAACCTATTCAACTAAGAAAATTCCTTTCTCATGCTATGTTTAAACATATATGGAGACCATAAATCTGAGTAACACAGACATCCTGAGTCAGAGCGTAAATGTCCTCCTAAAATTGCTTGATTTAGAGTTAAAGCTCCAGCTCCACGTTGCTAACTTAAGAGAATAAACAATATGGATTTACTTATCACCAACTTGTTGTCTCCTTAACCAACTTTCAGGTCTACAGTAATGGGACCCTGACTTCAGGTGGAACTGAAGAAGTAGGATAAACACCCCACACTGGCAATGCTAGTGGCATGGCCGCCTCAGACTCCATTTTTTCCTGGAGTCCTATCTTTGCTGAGTTCAGATAAGTCTCCCCTATTCCCAGCTTCCATGGACCTCCCACTAGTTTCAAGTCCAAAAGAAAATTCCCTTCAAGCTAGCTCTGGGGTTGGGGATCAAGTCAAGGTTCAGAGACTCTGGCTGCTGTATCTGTTAGAACCCTTCTGGTAAGACTCGATCTAGGGAAATTGGCTATGGATCAGTCAGAAATTAAACCAGAAATCTGGCTAACAAGACCACCGCCTCTTATATGTCAAGCCATTACCAGTCTGGTGATCACAAATACTGCCAGTGCTAATGTTAGTTAACTAAAGATAACCCCTCCCCCAGGAGCCAAGATGGCTGAGTGAAAAGGTAGTCACTCTCACTCTCCCCTATCAACCTCTGAAAACCCAGAAACTATCACCCCAGAAAAAAACCCTGAAACAGCTGAACTAGAAGAAAGATGGAGAGCAACAGTGCAGCAGCCCAGCAAATGGGTCTCGCAATGCCTCAGGAAAAATAAGTGAGGCAGAACTACAAGGGGCCCCAGATGGATAAGTACCCTGAAGCATTCATCCAAAAACAGGTGAAGAAAGCAACCTAAAGTCTTCCTAAAGCCTTGGCCTTGCTGGTTCCAGCCCAACACCAGGTGAGCTATCAAGCCCTGCAGCCTCCAATTGTGAAGAAATCCTGAATCCCAGGTGGTAGAGTAGGCAAACACCAACACCTGGACCTCCAAGTGCCTCAGCGAGGGTGGGTGGGGGGAACCCATGGAAACCAGCTCAGAAAACCACCAGGTGCCTCAGCACTCTACCTCAAAGGAATCTCCCAGTGCACTAGCAGAAAGGAGGGAGACAACACTGCAGGGGGCCCCAGGCACATAAACACCCTGCAGCACCCATCTAAATGGAGCTGAAGAAAGCTAAAGGAAAGGAAAGGCAGGCAACCTAGGATTGCCTGAAAGTTCCAGCCTTGCTAATTCCAGCCCAACACCAGGTAAGCTGCCAGAAACCTACAGCCTCCAAATGCCAACATAAGAGGCCCCAGCACACAAAGCCAGTGACCAAGACCTAGGCTCCCAACACAAGAAGCTTGGGTCAGTGCCCTCTGTTCCACAGCAGAAGAGCTCAATCTCTTTAAAGCCCAGGGAATAAAGAAATACCATGAGTAAAAAGAAACGTACCATAGATTCGTATTATGATAAGAGTGAAGATCAAGACAAATTCTCAAGAGGACAACATTGTCAGCAAACCCACATCTGCAATAACAAAAGGGAATATGAACTGGTCTGAAGCCCAAAAAGCCTTCTTAGAAGAGCTCAAGAAGGATTTTAATAGTCAAATGAGAGAAGTAGTAGAGTCCTTTAAAAATACAATTGGCCAATTGGAAAAAAAAATACACTGAAGAAAACAAGTCCCTAAAAACCACAATTGGCCAATTGAAGAAGGAAGGACAAAAACTAACAGAAGAGTACACTGAAGAAAACAAGTCCCTAAAAAACACCATTGGCCAACTGAAGAAGGAAGTACAAAAACTAACAGAAGAAAACAATCAGTTAAAAACTAGAATTGGACAAATGGAAACTAATGTCTCTATGAGACAGCAAGAATCAGTCAAACAGAAACAAAAAAATGAAAAAATAGATGAAAACATAAAATACCTCATCAGTAAAACAACCGACCTGGAAAATCGATTCAGGAGAGACAATTTAAAAATTATTGGACTACCTGAAAATCATGATGAAAAAAAGAGCCTGGACAGTATCTTTCAGGAAATCATAAAGGAAAACTGCCCTGAAGTCCTAGAACCAGAAGGGAAAATAACCATAGAAAGAATACAGGGCTCACCACCTGAAAGAGATCCCAAATTGACAATGCCAAGGAATATAATAGCAAAATTCCAAAATTACCAGATGAAAGAGAAGGTGCTGTAAGCAGCCAGAAAGAAAGAATTTAAATATCGTGGAACCACAGTCAGGATTACACAGGACCTTGCAGCTTCTACATTAAAAGACCGCAGGGCATGGAACATGATATTCCATAAGGCAAAGGAGCTTGGAATGCAGCCAAGGATCAATTACCCAGCAAAAATGAGCATCATTTTTCAAGGGAGGAGATGGATATTCAATGAAATAGGAGACTTCCAAACTTTCCTGATAAAAAGACCAGAGCTCAACAAAAAATTTGATCTTCAAGTACAGGACTCAAGAAGGACTTAAAAAGGTAAATGGGACAGAAAGATACAATATGTTGTTAATGGGGGGGGCTGTTTAAACCCCTACAAGGGAATATGAGACTTGCAACCCTTGAGAACTGTATTGTTATTACACCTGTTAAAGGAGTATACATAAAGAGGGTGGATATTAGTTGACTTTGATGTAATGATAAAAAAAAATCTAATCAAGTGGGTTAAATGGATCCAAATAAGTGGATCAATCTGATCTTAGAAAATGTACTGAGAAAGGAGGAGGCAGACAAGGGTAAATTACATTACAGGAAAAGACACAAAATCCTATTACAGCAGAGGGAAAGAAGGGGGGGGAGCATTGTTTGAACCTTACTCTCATCAGATTTGGCTCAAGAAGGGCATAACATAATCAGTTAGGTATAGAAATCTAACTTGCCCTATAGGCAGTAGGAGGGAAAAGGGGAAAGAAAAGGGAGGGGGAAAGAAAAGGGGGGGGAAGAAGGGAGGGAAGAAGCAGTAAGACTAAAGGGGAAGAAAAGGGAAAGGGATAATAAAAGGGAGGAGGGACTGAAGGAGGCTGTGGTCAAAAACAAAACACTAGTGAAGGGGGGAAAGGAAAAAGGAGAAAGAAAATCATAAACAGGGGGAAAAAAGGATGGAGAAAAAGACACAGATAGTAATCATAACTGTGAATGTGAATGGGATGAACTCTCCCATAAAATGGAAACCAGGAAGAGTCAAAACAGAGAAAAAAAAATTATAGACCAATTTCTCTAATGAATATAGATGCAAAAATTTTAAACAAAGTACTAGCGAATAGATTGCAGCAACTTATCACAAGAATAATACACTATGACCAGGTAGCATTTATACCAGGAAGGCAGGTTTGGTTCAATATTAGGAAAACTATCAGCATCATTGAGCATATCAACATCAAAATCAACAGAAACCACATTATCATCTCAATAGATGCAGGAAAAGCTTTTGAGAAATACAACACCCATTCATATCAAAAACACTAGAAAGCATAGGTATAAATGGAGTCATCCTTTTAATAATAAATAGCATGTATCTAAAACCTTCAGCAAGCATTATATGTAATGGGGACAAGCTAGAAGTATTTCCAATAAGATCAGGGGTGAAACAAGGATGTCCATTATCACCACTGTTACTCAATATTGTACTGGAAACGTTAGCTTTAGCAATAGGAGAAGAAAAAGAAATTGAAGGCATTAGAATAGGCAAAGAAGAAACAAAGCTATCACTCTTTGCAGATGACATGATGATATACTTAGAGAATCCTAGAGAATCAAGTAAAACACTACTTGAAAAAATAAACAACTTTAGCAACGTTGCAGGCTATAAAATAAACCCACATAAATCATCAGTGTTTCCATATATTACCAACAAAAAGCCCCACAGCAAGA